GCACATGGTAGGCTCTCAGTGAGTGTTTATTGGATGAGTTGTCTCACTTTACCCTCAGTTCAGCCCTTTGAGGTCAGGAGGACCGGCATCAGGTTTCCTCTCACAGATGAGGAACTTGAGAGGGAGAGAAGCCACATGACTTGTTCCAGGTCACCCGGAACGTGGGTGCTCGTCAGGATGCCTGTCACACAGCCCGCCTAATAAAACGTGTGTCAGCACAACATCGCTTCGAGTCACTTGACTCTTCCCTTAGCCCCTTTAGCACAAATAACATATTTCAGTTTCTTTTGTTGTTGTTAAATCACCTTCTGAGATCAAACTTGGAGATGTTTATTTCCACGATGGGACATTTTGGACTGGGTTCTGAAAGGGAGAAGGCTGGAGGACTGCACCGTAAGAGAATGAGGCTTAAGGTAGGGAGATAGCTCATCCGAGAGATTTATGGCAAGGAATTACGGCAAGCGCTGTCATTTGGTCTGAGTAAGTGTGGCTAGCAACAGGAAGGGGAAAACAGGATCCTGTGGTAGAACAAGGCTTAATGGAATGTCAGGAACAGATGGGATGGAGCTGTCCTGGGAACTGTCAAAGGAAGCAGTTGGAAGAGGCCTTGGAAGAATCCCTGTGACATGCAGGTGATCCAGGACGGGGACACATGTTTCCTATAAATGCAGAATGGGTTGTGGTGAGGTACGGAAAAGGCAAACACAGGCATCTTCTGCAAGCTGCTTCTGAAAAAGTCTGCACCAGGTCAGAAAAAATAGGGGCCCAGGTATGGAGGGTGGGCAAACCTGCCCAGATGTGGCTTTCACTGAAGGAAGAGAGTGCTTTAAAAAGAAAAAAAAAAAAAAACAAAAAACAAAAAACAAAAACCAATCTGGGGACTGAAGAGATGGCTCGGCAGTTAAAAGCACTTGCAGAGGATCTGGGTTCAAGTCCCAGGCTCCTACACCCTCTTTTCGCTCTTGTGAGCAGCGAACATGATATACACACACGCAGGCACACAAATGCACTTGAATATAAAAGCAAATTACTGTGTTTGGCCTGGAGAGATGGCTTAGTGGTTAAGAGCACTGGCTGCTCTTCTAGAGGAGCCAAGTTCAATTCCCAGCACCCACACGGCAGCTTACAGCTGTCTGTAGCTCCAACCTCCAATCCCAGGGCAGGCAAAACATTCACACACATAAAATTTTAAAAACATTCTGAAATCATCAATTATATCCTTTTAAATTCCAACAGTGCTTGCTGGGAACAGAGCGACTTTTGGGCGATGATTTTCTCCTTCTGCTGTGGGCTCCAGAGGCTGAACTAGGTGTGCACAGCTCATGCTTCTACCTGTGCAGCCAGCTCCATAGCTTTGGAGTTCGAATATCTAGGAAGGTAGATGCAGAACCAGGATGTGGCTTGTTCTATCCTGAAACCATTATATCTGAAACTCAACCTTTAAGTCTTTCTCTCCACATTTTATATTCTGCCCTGTGGCATTGAAGCCTAGGACTCTAAAACAAAAGCAAAAGCAAAAACAACAAAACCCCACCTTTCTCTTTTGTCGGTGGGTTTCCCTTAAATTCTGTCTAGGGAGGATTAGTGAATTGGCTTCTCCAGAGAAAAAGATCCAGTCAGATATATAAAGAGGCAAGCTCTGGTATTTATTAGGGGACTTAACTTGTACTTAGGGAGGTTGGTGTCAAGCAAACTGTATTGACTGAAGAACTTTCTACGCCGGTAGCTTGGCTCAGTGCAAGTCGAAAGGCCTTTAATAATCAAGGCAGCTGATGGGGAAGCTCCAACTGAAGGCCTGAGAACTCTGTGAGCAGCCGATTGAGTCTTAGAACCAAAAGGACAGAGAGCCAAGGATATTCACATTTTCGATTTTTTCCTCCCTACCTTTTGCTAACTGCATGGGACCTGCCCACACAGAGGACTAATGTTCCTATGCAGTACATCAAACTTGTGTACTAACCTCTTCACAGACACATGCAAAACTAATGCCTCACCAAGCTCTAGGAATTTCTGCAGCCATTGAGTAGAGTGACCCTGTGACTTCCCTGCTGTGCACACCACTTTAACCTTCACAGCACACAATACACATGGAAATGGAAAGGGTGACAGGCGAAACAGTCCCACCAAATGCGTTGCGACTGTTCTAACCTTCAAAGTGAATTAATCTCACCCCAGAACAGGAGACAGAGTCTTGGGGTGATGTTCGCTGTTCCTTGGTACCTCTGAAATGTTAACTTAATAAATTTAAGTTTATTTATAAGACTTAAATGTTAACTATGTCAATTAATAATGCTTAAATATTGGTAGAAAGTCTATCCCATAATATAGGAATTAAGAGCGAAGGGAATGTAAAAGGAATTGCTTAGCATACATATATGGATGTGTTCTTAACAAAATAGACAGGAAATATTCATGATAGCCCTTATTTCTGTAACAGGTTATGTGTCTAAAGCTCATACCTATAAGTACATTTTTCTACTACCCATTCTATACTCTCTGCTCACAGCAAGCATCCTGGATCATCATCATTCTTTACCTTGAAAGATGACCCAAGCCTTCGTTTCTGAAGTGTACCTAAGCCTTAGTAGGTCTGTATAAGTTGGATTGTTATAGTTTCCCACTGGATTTAATCGACAGGTATGGGATATTAAGGGGCATCCTAGCAAATGTACTCTAGACGTATACTCTCTCTTATGTTCACTGTGGGGTAGCAGAGTAGTTTTAAACAGTCTGGATCAGTTACCCCAGACAACATACTATTCTTTTATCCTGTTGCTAGGGAGGATCAGGATCCCTAGGATGCCTTGACTGCCTGCTTAATGTAAGTTCAATGGGCTTCTTAGAGGAAAATTCTTCCCTCTGGGCTAGGGCATTGAGGTCATCAAAGAATAACGTCATAGGATCTGGAATCAAAATTTCTACTAATGGTTCATTAGGGACAAAGCACAGTGATAGTGCTTATAGAAGCACCAAAGGGGGTGGGGGAGCAGTTATCAGTGGATAATGGCCACAGGGTTTCCAAAATCCCAGTACCTATGCTGTATGCCTGACAAAGCCTTTAGTAGCATTCCTATCTTCCAAGACGCTTCCAAAAACCATAGAATCTACTAGATAGTATTTCTCAAGCGGCACAGAAGTCTGCACAGCCACAGGGACCTATTTGGGAGCCTTCCTTCTGTTCTAGGTCTTATTCAAAACCAGCAGCTAAATTCACTCGTTGTTGGAGTAGATGAAAATGCTACAACCCTCCAAAATACAAAGAGCCTACCAGGCATGATCTCACTTTCCTGGTTGTTATGGAATATTTTTGTGCACTGTAAAAATGTGTCTTGGCCAAGGCACCTCCTGATTGGTTTAATAAAGAGCTTATTGGCCAATAGCTAGGCTGAAAGAGGTTAGGGGGGACTTCTGGGCGGAGTGAAGAGGAGGCAGTGTGGGAGACATGCCAGAGGACACAAAGGAAACAGAAGGTGCAAGATGGAAGAGAGGTAAAAAGCCATGAGGCAAAATGTAGATTAATACAAATGAGTTAATTTGAGTTCTAAGAGCTAATGGGACAAGCCCAAATTATAGGCCAAACTTTTAATAATAATTAATAATAAGCCTCCATGTTTTTTTTTTTTTTATGAGCTAGTGGCCCAAAGAAAAATCTGTCTATGCTTGGTTTTCTTGTCAGATGCAACAGCACACCCTCTACCACACAAGATATATCTCCACGTATCTACACTACTGGGTCCTAGAAATTTCATTAAGTGAGAAAGACCCTGCTTATTCCCTACATTCTGACATAAGAAAATCTCACCAAAATCCAGAGTAATCGTCACTTCTTATCACTAGACCTCAGTGCTATAATGTAATTGATATAATAGAATGGTGTGCTACCTTGTGGGAGGGAAGAGCGATCGAGATAGCAGCAAACCAAATAGTGCGTAGAGATGGAAAGTTGGTGCGTTATTATTTTCCCCAACAGCTGGAAGCAAGCTGCTCTGAGTGGGTCTTATGGAAAGGGATGAAAATGGGCATTGCCCAGGTCAACGGCTGCACATCAAGTGCTAGTAGATGTGATGTGCTGAAGTAGTGAAAGTATATTGAGTACTGTACCAGGCCCCTAGACCTTAGTAGGCCCCCAGATGCCATGAGAGAAGCACCACTTTGACCTTAGAGCTGAGCACATAGGCTCCCAACACCTGTCAAAACAGGAACAAAGACCTAGTCCATCAAAGGCCTAGTTCGTAGTCCTAGAATCCGAGAAAGTCCCTAAATGTACTAACCTCGCACTTTGGCTTCTGTAGTTCTACCTCTGCAGTGTTCTTGCTAATTGAAGTATCTTAACCAGAATGTGGTTGTTTGTTTTTGCTTTGTGATAAAAGATAAAGAACAGTGAGGTTTGGGACTGCATGATTTGTGAAAGTTTCCCAAGTAGTTGCTGACCTTCTATTCCACTTTAAGAGTGTTCATGGGGAGCCGGGCGGTGGTGGTGCACACCTTTAATCTCAGCACTAGGGAGGCAGAGGCAGGCGGATCTCCGTGAGTTCGAGACCAGCCTGGTCTACAAAGGGAGTTAGTTCCAGGACAGGCTTCAAAGCTACAGAGAAACCCTGTCTCGAAAAAAAAAAAAAAAAGAGTGTTCATGGGGGTTCCCTGATGGGCTTACTTTGCAACAGTATACCTCCTGTATTGGAATTACCTCTTGATTAAGCTTAGGATAACCCATTGCCATTCTCCAGTTCCCACCCGTTTTTTATATGCCACGAAAGAGAGCAGACGATGTCAAGAAGAGCCCCTAGTTCTTTTGAGTTCTGAAACACCTCTGGGGGTGGGTTTTGTTGCTGTTCCCTGTTGCCCTAGCTATAGGAAACTCGTTGGTTACCATTTGGTTCTTCTTATGAAACACCAATTCCACAGGTCATGTGATAATAGTAATATTTTTCTTTTCCCTCTTCTCTTTTATTTTGTGATTGTTAACATTTATTGCTAACTCAAAAGGTTCTAGAACAAGCATGGCACCACCTGTGAGGTACTGCATCCCTGGCGAACGTCTGTGTAACATGGAAGAAGGCAGCCCCGGGAGCGGCACCTACACCCGGCACGGCTACATCTTTTCGTCGCTGGCGGGCTGCCTGACGAAAACCAGCGAGAATGGCGCGCTTCCTGTGGTGTCTGTGATGAGAGAAACAGAGTCCCAGCTACTTCCAGATGTAGGAGCTGTTGTCACATGTAAGGTCTTTAGCATCAACTCACGTTTTGCCAAAGTACACATCTTGTATGTGGGGTCCACACCACTAAAAAATGCTTTTCGAGGAATTATCCGCAAGGAAGATATCCGAGCAACTGAAAACGACAAGGTTGAAATTTACAAGAGTTTCCGCCCAGGTGACATAGTTTTGGCCAAAGTTATCTCCCTAGGTGATGCACAGTCCAATTACCTGCTGACCACTGCTGAAAATGAGTTAGGGGTAGTGGTAGCCCACAGTGAATCGGGTGTCCAGATGGTTCCCATCAGCTGGTGTGAGATGCAGTGCCCCAAGACCCACACTAAAGAATTCCGAAAAGTGGCCAGAGTACAGCCTGAGTTCTTACAAACCTAAGCACACTTCCCCTCAAAGACGGAGCTGCCTGTTTCCAAGAGTACCAGTATGAAAAGAACATCAAGATGCCACAGTCTTTATTAAGGATTCTACAGTTACCTAGCAACCACCTCTTGAAAAATCTGCCAGAAATAAGTTTGTGTTGTAATGAGCACCCAAGGCCTATGCAGCTGAGACAGGAAGATTTTTAGTTCTCAAATGTGAGTGTAGCCTAGGCTACATAGTAAGACTCTTTCAACCAAAATATAAAACACTATTCTTGGGAAACTGTGATTTTTATTCTCTTGGCTGGTGTTTGCATTCAACAAACAAAACCATGTAATATTGGAAATAGCTTATGCCTTCTTTATAAATATGTATATATGTATTTTGCTATGACTGGTGAAAAAATGCTTTTCACTTGAAAAAAAAAAAGGTTCTAGATGCCCAGAGGATAAGCCTCTGGATAGTCTGTAAGAGATTATCTAGATGAGATTAACTGAAGTTGAAAGTCCCACTCTAACATGGTGCTGTGTTAGTGGGGTCCAGGACTGACTACAAATGAGAAGGTGATCTGAGCCCCAGCATTCTTCTCCCTCTGCTTCCTGACTGCAGATACAATGTGACCAGCTGCCTTTAGCTGTTGCCATCATGCCTTCCCTGTCATGATGGACTGTTCCCTCAAGCCAAGAGCCAGAATCAAGCCTTCCTTCCCTAGGTGGATTTTGTCAGGTATTTTGTTGCAACAAAGAGAAAACTAAATTTTCCAGACCAGGAAACCAGTGTAGGGTTCTGCCATCTGTTAAGCATGTATGTTTCAATTATGCATTCTGAGTTGGGAAAACAGCTATCAAATGGAGTTGGGGCTTCAGTGACTACATCGCACTGTGAGTCAGACTTGAGCTAACACTGCAGGTATCACCTGGGTCCTGATTGGTGAGATACACTGGCCTGTCGGTCTCCTAGAATCAGTGTCAGCTCAGAGACCCAGTCTAGTAATCTATAGGTCTAGCTGTTCCCCTTCCTATGAACAAGTGTCCTGACAAAAAAAAAAAAAAAATACAAAAAAAAAAAAAAACTGTAGCCCTCTTTGGGGAAGAAGTGGGAGAAAGAGTAACAGTATTTTCTCAGTGATATCCTGGAATTCTTGGGGTAGATCCAGACTCCCCTTCATTCAAGATGTTAGAGGCCTATAAACTGCTCAAAAGCTCTAATGACTTACATTTAGCCCTTCCATCATAACAGACCCCTTCTCTGTAGCTCAGGAAGCAAATGTAGAGGTTCTGCTATATTCCAAGTTTGCCTGTTCTGGAAAAGTGAGCACTGTTTTTAGTTTGTTTTAAATGAGTGTTGCTGAACATGTATTCATTTAACCTGGATGCTTTCTGCTTGTACAGATCTGCCAGGAATTTAGTAGGATGGCTTTTTATTTTGGAAAACATCGTGATTGACCAGGCAACACTGTAAATCTCCAGGGGCCAGATCGTCTTGACTGCTGCTTTGCTTCTGCCCATCACAATGATCACTGCCCCCTTGTCTTTGAGTGTTGAGCTCTTCCACCTGTCATCTACCCTCAGGGCATCAAGTTAGACTCACTGCATTTAAGCCTTGCAGGTGAATCCCTACGGCACCCACTGTACTTTGTTGGCTGTGGAGAAGAGAAACCACAGAGTCTTCAGCAATGCTGGGGCCCCCACCAATCTACCTCTCAAAGGACTGGTGGAAGGCACATATTCTAGATATTCTTGCTATGGGTAGGCATGTTTTATGTGATGATAGTCCCATCTCTCACGCCAATACCCTGAGGCTTTTGCATCTCTTCTCTGTAGTGAAGGAAAGAGAATTAGGAATCTCTCGTTTGCTTGTACTGGGCCATCTTTTGACCCATGTTGCAGTCAAACAGATGAATGAGTGAAGGAATGAGCGAATGAAGCTATTAGTGCAGTTCCTAACTCTCCAAGATAGAACAGTGAACCCCAAATCTGCTCCATACCACTGCATTTTTGCCTGAAGTAGCTTTGCAGTCTTTCCATCATTATTCTGCACCATTAACATTCATTTCTGCATTTTTCTCGGATTTCTGCCTGTGTAAGTTAGAAATCTCAAGTAGATCTTTGGTGATGCAAATAGTTATAGGTTTTGAAGCAGAGAAGGAGGTAGTAGTGGATCCTGAGAAGACTCACAGTTTTCTTCCTTGGCAACTGCCTCAGTGAAGGACATTCAGTGTCCTTAGGTAGAGGAGGGAAAATCTGTACCATGACAGGAGAGATGTGTCTGCGTGAGAGGTTACTTCAGACAGACAAGGAAGTCTCAGTAGAAGGTAGGAGCATGATATCCACAGTCTTGTCTTGTCTTCTCACACATGCCCATCACAACTTTCAGGGATGTCTTTCTTTTCCAGACAAATTCCCTCATCACCAAACCCAAGTCTGTTCACTTGCTACTCAAAAGAGCAACGGAGAACAAGCTGCTGGGGGCAGGAAAAGCAACTAATCTGGTAATCCAGCAAAATTGAGAAGATGGTGGATTAGCATTCTGAAAAGACCATTTTAACTGGGCACAAAGTTTTAAAAAAGATTTATTTTATATTTATCAGTATTTTCCTACCTGTGCATAACAGCAATGTACATGGAGGGGCTCGGAATTCCCTAGGATTGGAGCTATGGGCGGTTATGAACACCATATGGATGCTATGAACTGAACACAGGTCCTCTGCAAGAACAAGTGCTTTCAACCAGTGAGCAGTTTCTTCAGCCCCTCAGCATCAAGTTTAATCTCCTCTATCTTTAAGCAAAGGTGAAGAGAGACATAAGGTTGGGGAAGGATGTGGAGTGGAGACTCTTCAAGTATCACTGATGGTCTAGAATGGATTGATGTGAAATTTGACAGTTGGCGTTCATTTATCAAAAGGTCACAATGCCTCTAGAAATATTTATCCCCATCTCTGTCATCAGTACAGAAGGGGGAAAGAGATTAGAGAATTTTTGGGTATATCCATATTGCATGCACAATAGTTCTGGACCAATATTTGTGTCTATATGGAGAAGTGAGTGAGGACAATCCAACCCAAAGCTTACAGAAGCAAAGAGTCAGAGACAACACAAAGGCAGAGATGTCAAGATTTTGGTCCTCTTTAGTATCTGTGAGATACCTGTGCAAACTCAGATGATATGGCTGTGTGCATGGCTGTGATCCCAGCCCTGTGGGAAGTGGGGTCAGAAGCATCCCTGGCACTTCTTGTCCAGCAGCTTCCTTCCAGGTTTAACGAAAGATCCTGCCTCAAAGGTATAAGACAGGCAGTGACAGAGAAGAACATCTGACATGTTCCTCTGACTTCTGAACTCATGCATGTAATGTGCACACAACACAAACACACTTGTAATATGTAAAAATAAAAACTTAAAAAATTTCGCAGGTAACTTATGTGGATCTATGGCCAAAAATTAATATCCTGAGCAATCCTTTTCTTTAATCATTTGGCTAGTGACAGATGCCAGGAACAACCAGCCAACATCCTCTTTCTTATTTCTCTAGAAGTGTTCAAAAAATGTCACATATAATTACCAACTTGCTTGTCTTCTTCTAAGTGGTGGATTAGGAAAGAAATGTAAATGTCATTAGAAGCTAAATGCTGCCACTTGTGTGTTTCCTGCCAAGCAATGTAAATAAAGCTGGGAGGTTAGGAAGTAAAGGTCCTTATGTGTAAATGCCTGACGCTGGAACCACTAGTGTTTGGAGAGGCCACCTCAACCCCATGCTGTTTCGAACATAGCCTAGCAGCTGTGTTTGGCCTCAGAGTGACATTGCTCACTGCTGATTTCCATGCCCGAGCATCATTATTCAGGAACACCTGATGCGATCTTCCTTATTTTTGGCACTAAACATCCCCCCATCCTCCTTGACTGTGCCTTTCATTACTGTGGATGCATCTTTTTACTCTAATGCTCTGCTATTCTCCTTAACACCCTTTCCCTCAAAGGGAATATCATTATTCTCTAGCAAAATCATTCTCTGATCTTTTAAACTTTAGGCTGATATCTACAAAGAGTTCATAACATAGACAGGGCTCTCTGCCCTACTCGAAGTAGAATTCTCAGCATTTTCCGGTCTAATCAGATAAAGTTAATTCCACAAAGCCCCATGTGATTTAGGCAAGCTCAGCCTTAAAGCTCTGTTCTTCAAGTATGATTTTTGGTTCCCAAGTCTGGATTAGTCAGCGCTCTCCAGAGACACATAACTAATAAGACAGCTGTCAAATAGAAACAGACAGAGACAAAGTCATAGCGATGGGACAGGGGATTTACTAGAGAATTGGCTCCCACAATTATGGGCTCCCACAAAGGTGGTTTTCAGGCTGAAGACCTTGGATGGCTGAAGCATGTCATGGTGCATTTTTGAGGCCTTGAAACTAGAGAAACCAATAGTGCACCTCTTAGCTAGAGACCCAAAGCTTGAGAACCTGGTCTGTTGACATTTTATAACATCTGCTTAAAAAAAAAAACATCAAGCACATTGCAAGAGGACGAAAGAATTATAGTCCACTGGGCACCAGCTGGGTGAGACGGAGGAAGCCTTCAACACAACGTGATGATCCTGGTGCTAGGCCCACTCTTGCTTGTTCATGCCCATAAGCAAGCTATTTGGTCACCATATATCCCAATTCTTCCAACAAAGGCTGCTGGGAGACTCTGACTTGAGGATTTTCAAGGCAATATACAGTATTGATTTCCACGGATGTGGTTAGGTTCTACGTATGTTGGGGAAGAACGCTGGGTTAATCGGATTCTTATTTTTTTTTTTTTAATTATGTGTTTCTGTGTGGGTATGTGTCATAGTGCTGCCGTCCTTGTAGAGGTCAGAGGTGTTGGAGTTCCTTGCAGCTGGAGTTATAGGTGGTTGTAAGCTACCTGACATGGGTGCTGGGATCTGAATTCTGGTCCTCTGCAAGTCGTATTCACTCTTGAGGACTGAGGTCCTGTCATATTTTGTTTTTGAAACACGGTCTCTCTATGTTGTCCTGGAACACCCTATATGTAGACTAGGCTGGCCTCAAACTCACAGATCTGCCTGCTTCTGCTTCTAAGTGCTGGGATTGAAGGCACACACTATTACGACACGGAACTTCAAAGTGGAAAGACTCTTTGAAAGCCTTATCTCTGGGAACCAGTGTTTTATGTCATGTAAGTTTCTGAAAAGTTGATGTGGTGATAAACATGGCACCTTTGCCCCATCTTCCCAGCTTAACTTCCAAAATGCTCTTCTCTCTGGGTTCAAATTTGCTTGAAATATTTAATACTTAAAACCTGAACTGCATAGTTGGCCAGGCGTTAGTCCTTTGTC